GCGAGGGATCAGCGAGGGAATTTGCAGAAGAAATTTCCCTCGCAAATCAGCGAGGGATCAGCGAGGGAAATGACCAAAAATCAGATTCCGTCGCTGATCCCTTGCAGATCAGCGAGGGAAATGACAAAATTCACTTTCCCTCGCAGATCCCTCGCTGATCTGCGTGGGATCAGCGAGGGATTTTTCTATTTTTTCTATTTTCTCATTTTTATGTGTCATATATACGTATTTTTATATGTTGATGTCGTATGTATGCATGTATATGTGTTGTTTGTATATATATAAATATATATACATATGTGTGGTTGCTAACCGCGATTTTTATTATATGCACACATATGCGTGTGTTATAAATTTATATATCCGTCGTCCCGTGTTATATATATATATATATATATATATATATATATATATGTTTACACAATGTTGTAATTGTTATATGTATATATACACATGTATACATGATATATATAGATGTGTGGTGGTTGTAACCACGATTTGATTGATGTTTATATACTCGTCGAGTCGGTTTTATTAGGCTTTATTGGRTTTTATTGGACCTAAATGAGATTTATTCGGTTATGAACCGGGTATTGATTTTAACGTTTTTTAGGACCGAGACCGGTTAAGACCGGAACCGGTTATGTAACCGGTTACAGGACCGGCCCGGCCCGGCCCGGCCCGGTCAACAAAAGTCATAGATGTATATATATATAACAAAACATATTTTTAAACGTATTTATAAATTAAACGTATTTATTTTTAATATGTTATTAATATGTTATTTTTAATATGTTATTTTTAATATGTTTTATATAAATATGTTTAAAAATATGTTTTGTTATATATGTATACGTTTAATGCGACTAAATATCTTTTGTTATATATATATATATATGTATATAAATTTATTAATTACCAAAAATTTGAAAAAAAAAATTATTTTTTTTGCAAAGGACCGGCCGTAACMGGTTATGGGACCGGAACCGGGACTGGACGGCTTAACCGGTTATGGAGTTTTCATCGGGATCGGTTATAGATGGTTTTTGTCGCGATTAGAACCGCCCGTTAAATGGGTTAAGCCCCGGAAAAAAAAAATTAAGAAAATAGAACAATTCTCTCGCTGATCCCTCACTCAGCGAGGGAATTTGATTTTTGCAAATTCCCTCGCTGATCCCTCGCTGATCTGTGAGGGATATGTTTTTTGCCAATTCCCTCGCTGATCCCTCACAGATCAGCGAGGGATCAGCGAGGGAACTTGCAAAAATTAAATTCCCTCGCTGATCCCTCGTTGATCTGTGAGGGATCAGCGAGGGAATTGGCAAAAAAACATATTATATATATATATATATATATATACCGATTTCATATAGAGAAAAAGTGGGTCAGCATTTGCGACGGAAAGGATCCGTCGCTGATTTAAGGTCAGCTTTTGCGAGGGAATTTATCCGTCGCTGATTTTTTTTTACAATACCTAGGTTACGCCTCTTTCTCCAATGTTTTTAACTTTACAGTGTATAACACTGCACACTTTTTTACAGATCGAGATCGAGAGAGAGAGAGAGAGAGAGAGCGATATCGAGATCGAGAGAGTGAGAGAGAGAGCGATATCGAGATCGAGAGAGTGAGAGAGAGAGAGAGAGCGATATCGAGATCGAGAGAGAGCGACAGGTTTCGGTTTCCGTCTAAAGCATCGCCGACGGCTGCCGTCCTCGCCGTGGCCGACCAATGCCGTCCTCCCCTTTGCGACCACCACAGCTGCGTCGCGCCCACCGTCGTCCTCGCCGTCCTCGCCGTCGTCGCCCACCGTCAACCTCACTGTCCTCGCCGTCGTCTTCACCGTCGCCGGAGTCGCCGTCCCTGTTCCGACCAGATTGACAACAGGTCTGTATTTAGGTATGATTTATGGCAGTTTAGAAATTTAAGATGCTTCAAATGTGTTTGTAAAATGTGTTTGTAAAATGTGTTTGTAAAAAATGTTTGTAAAATGGTCTTGTATGTTTACAATTGTATGGTATGATTTATGGTAGTTTAGAAATTTAAGATGCTTCAAATACATTTGTAAGTTTGTAAAATGTGTTTGTAAATGTGTTTGTAAAATGTGTTTGTAAATGTGTTTGTAAAATGTATTTGTAAAATGTGTTTGTAAGTTTGTAAAATATGTTTGTAAGTTTGTAAAATGTGTTTGTAAAATGGTCTTGTATCTATGTAATAGATAATAGATTAGAAAATAATGATGACATTAGTTGTATGTTTAAAATTAGAAAATGTGTGTTTGTTGATTGTATGTTTGGAATTGTATGTTTAAAATTGTACGTATTTTAGATTACATTAACTTCGTTGGTTATGTTTATTGTTTGTTAAATTAGGCTTGATTATATATATATATATATATATATATATATATATATTTGTAGTTGGGTTGCCAATTATTGGGCAAACGTTAGGTTTGATTAATTTGGAAATATTCATTTTATAGCCGTTATGCCGGCGAAATTTTTTAAAACATAGGCTTCTTTACTTGTCCACCACCTGAATCCAACTATTTGTGTCCCATTTTGGAAATATGTGATTGCTTTTTTGATATTTAAATAATCATATTTATAAGTTGTGTTCGTTTCAAAAGTTCGTTTATACTATTTGTGTCCCATTTGGTTTTGTTGGTTGCTTTATTTGATGGTTAGATATATTTACTCGTCTCATAAATGAGAAACCCTCAAATTTGTTTTTGTTATATAATTAATAACCTTTGTGCATCTTCTTTATGATGGTTAATAAAGAAAACGTACGTATCTTAGGCTTCTTTAACTTCGTTCTACAATGTTTATGCTTTGTTAAATTTTACATATTCG